GCTAGGTTCTCCGGCGAACAGGTACAAGCGCCATGTCTGTCTGCTTGATCTGGGGTGATCTTCCACGGGGATTGGGCGAAATAGGCTGGGGTCTTGAGAATCTCGACTCAGTTCGAGTTACTCTGTAGGGGATTTTATTTTCTTGTTGATTTCATGTGCAGACTTTTTTTTGAAAGATCCAGCAAATTGCTGGCTTTGATTGGCGATTAGCAGGAAGCAACGGAAGATAAAATCGTGGGAATCCTAAGATCATGGATGAAAATGAAAGGAACTGAAAATAAAGAAAACTACAGCCCTATTGGCTGCCAGAGAATTAACAGTCTCTCATGGAGGATTCCCAAAGGGGTCTCAACAAATTTAGCTCCGGCTAGGCGCCATAGCTCCATTGATTGCGGCGACAACCTCGTGTGCGGAGGCGATCTTGTCCCTGAAAGTGCACTTGTTCCTTTCCTGCCAAATCTCCCATAGGACCAGCATTTGCATTCATGTGCATTCTCATTCGGATCCGAAATCACCTTCTAAAAACATTGTAAATCAATCTGATTGGACATTTGAGCCTTAATAATCCCTTGGATGGTGCTTACAGAGTTACGACTCAATAAAACTAAAAGAAAAATTACATGAAATGCTATTGCAGCAAGAGAATATTACTGTTCGGAAATGCCAGTAACTGAATCCTAAAAGGAAAACACCATTAGGTAGTTACATCACTTTTTTTCTTTAGATGCGCTTCTGGCGCAAGTTTCCGTCGTCCAAATCTTTGCTTCACCTGGCATGCATGTGTGAGGCCGCGTGCTTGATTCTAAGGATCTCAGTAGAAACTTGACCCATATCCGGCCGGTCTTTTGGTGATGTCGTGGAGCAAGAGAGGCCGATTATAATCAGTGGGATAACACAATTCTTCATCAGGTCGCCTGCATTCCTGTCATCTTGTAGTATTGTGGGATCAACGACCTCATGAATGTTCTTTGTAAATGCTCTATCAACAAATTCATGAAGGCTTATACCATTACTAAATTTTTCACCAGTTGGACTGCACCCTGTTATCAATTGTAACAGAAGCACTCCAAAACTGTAGACATCACCCTTAGTTGATATCTGTTGGCTCATGCCATACTCTGCATTTACATTTGCGAACACAATAAAATTAGAGGATAATCATTATTTGGACAACTCTATAAATAAAACTAATTTCTTTTGAGAATAAGCTTATCAAACCTGGTGGAATGTATCCTATGGATCCTTTTAGGTGGCAGACACTTATTGAACTGTCTTGATGTGCATTTGGTGCACTGAACAGAAATCTTGCTAGGCCGAAATCGGTGACGTATGCAACCATATCAAGACCCAAAAGAATATTGCTTGGCTTCAAGTCGCAATGTATAATTGGAGATGCACACTGGTTGTGAAGATAATCCAAAGCAAATGCTACATCCAAGGCCACATTAATCCTTTGGCTTAATGACAGAGTATTTGTTTCACCATGTTCATGATCCATCGGGTGTAGCCACATTTCTAGGTTACCATTTGGCATGTATGGGAACACTAGGGCCTTGAAATCTGCCCCAGTATGATCCACTGAAGAGCATGAAGTAATGATTTTTACAAGATTTCGATGGCGCACATTACGAAGGGCTTCACACTCTGATACGAAGCTCCTATGTGCTCCATAAATGTCAAGGTCAAAAATCTTGATGGCAACTTGATCTTCTTGAAACTGGAGACTGCCCTTATAAACCCTTCCAAATGATCCAGAACCAATTAAGTTTGCAGAAGAGAATCTATCTGTCGCCTTTACAATGTCTTCATATGATATCTTTTTTGTGTGCTCATTGACATGTTGCAAATGGAGATTGGCTTGCATTTTCTTCTTCCGATAAATTATCACAATACATGACATAATGATCATAGTGACACCAACAATGGGCAACACAATCTCTAGGACAAGAACCAATGACTTGTGTTTTCTTTTCTTGTCAACCAGTGCAGAGCAAAGGGACATACCTCCTGTTGGAATGCTTGTACACAGATGATAATTTCTTTCAATTGATACTGCACCAGCAATGTCAAAAACACCACCTCTCGGAATTGGTCCATGAAACTGGTTGAAGGATAAATTGAGGTATTGGAGGTGTTTCAAGGATTTGAGAGGCTCTGGTATTTCTCCGGACAAATTGTTCTGAGAAATATCCATATTTTTTATGTTGGATAATCTGGCAAAAGACTGTGGAATGCTTCCTATAAAGAAGTTGCTTTGCATCTCAAGATACTCCAGATCCACACACTGGCCGAGAGTTGATGGTATGTCGCCAGACAGCCTGTTATTTGACATGTTCATTTTCTTAAGATGAATCAGATTGCCGACGTCAGGCATTTCTCCAGACAAGTAATTGTGTGACAAGTCCAACTCTTCAGTAAGTGTAGAGATTTTGAAGATTTTGCTTGGTATACTCCCAACTAGTGAGTTGTGAGCAAGGTTGAGTATACTGAGTTGAGTGCAATGTGCTATACTTGCTGGTATCCTTCCACTAAAGTTGTTCCAATCCAATTTCAGCATACTCAGCTGGACAAGATTGCCAATAGTATCTGGAATCTGCCCGGAAAGCCGGTTTTCTGCAAAGGATAGATAGACCATTCTGTGCAGTTTCCCAAGTGTTGGTGGTATATTTCCAGTGAGAAGATTGTTACCCATGTACAAATTATTGAGGCTCTTAAGGTTGCCAATCTCTGGTGGTATAGGCCCGCAAATTTGGTTGCTATTTAGCCACAATGACTCAAGACTATTGGAAAGATTGCCAATAGAACTTGGTAATTTCCCTTGGAGGTTGTTTCCATCCAGCCCCAGCATACTCAACCTGGAGCAATTTGATAGTGAAGAGACAAAGCCCCAATCACCTGCTTCTAGCTTGTTGTGCCCCAGATCAAGTTTCTCTAAATTTTGCAGTGAACCGAAGAATGGTATGAATCCAGTAAACCTATTATTATCCAGGTGAAGCATGCGTAAGCTGTAAGCTTTGAGAAGAGAGGCTGGGATTGGCCCATCAAAACTGTTCTCTGATAGTATTAATCTCCGAATATTTGGAAGCGTGTGGCCGATGTCGAAGGGTAATTTTCCGACAAGAGAGTTTTTTGCGATGGCAAGAACTGTGAGGGATGACATGTTGAATAAAGACAATGGGACTGGCCCAGATAAGTTGTTTATGTCCAAGGTCAATGTCTCTAGTGTAGGAATATAACCTAAGCTCTCTGGGATGCTCCCAACTAACTGATTTTCTGCAAGGCGAAGATGAACCAGGGAGGACAGGTTACCTAGTGAGGAAGGTATTATTCCTGAAAGATGGTTCTTCCTTAAGTAGAGATATTTAATTGGGGGAGATGTGGCAGTAACATAAGGTATTGAACCAACAAAACTGTTCTGTTGGAGGCAAATAGCAATAAGTGAAGAAGTGGTGAAGAGAGCACTTGGGAGTTTTCCAGTAAAATTATTTTTCATGAGTCTAAGTACTTGAAGAGATGAACTGTTTGCTAGGAACTCTGGGATGACCCCTAAGAGAGCATTGTTCCCAAGATCGACATATGTGAGATGAGGGCTGCTGCCTAAAGACGGAGGTATGTTGCCGGTAAGTCCAGTGCTAGCGAGAACTAGTATGCGCAGCTTAGGGAGATTTCCAAAAGCAGAAGGGATGCTTCCTTGCAGGTTATTGTTGCGAAGGTTAATCTCTTGAAGATGTTTGCATTGGCTAAGGCTAGGTGGGATGTCTCCGTGGAGGGAATTGTTCCACAAACCAAGGATTTGGAGTTGCGAACATGCAGAGAGTTCAGGCGGGATGTTACCTTCCAAAGTGTTCATGCTGAGGTTGAGGTCGCGGAGCCCGCTCAGGAGGCCAAGCTCTGATGGTATGCCACCACTCAAGCTATTATTTGACAGTTGCACCCTTGTAAGAGAGGTCAGGTTGGCAATGCAAGGTGGTATGGAGCCTGAGATGCCTTCTGACTGGAGGTCCAGCGCAATCACACGACGAGGGGACACCATGCTGCAGGTGATCCCATGCCACTCGCAAACGTCGAGGGACGTGTTGCTCCATGAAGCTAAAACTCCTGCTGGACCCGAGAGCCAGGACTTGAAACAAAGGAGGGATTGTCTATCATTTTCGGTTTCACCGCAGGTGGCTAATGTCAGGCAGCAAAAGAAGGCAAAGAGGCATAGAAACCAAACAAAACCTGGAAACAAGACACCCGAAGACGCCATTGTTATTGTTTGCAGGAGTATGTGGATGAAAGCTCTGATTTGTAAGAGGATGTTTAAGCACTCAACTATGGAGAGGGATAGTAGCTAAGCCCTCTAGACAGCAACTTCACGGTCAACGATCGATACGGTGGGAACTGGGATGATACATGACCACATGCTTTTGGACCAGATTTTGGCTTGTAGAATATTGCTAATATTGTGTGCATGCATTTGGACGCTAACAGATTTGACCTTTCATTTCTCAGACAGGGACAGCCCGGCAGGACGATGCCTCCAACCTCTGCTTACATTGCAATTGTCCCAGCCACCCTCCAACAGCAGCTTGAGGTACAGTGTGGACGCACGCTTTCTCTTGATGAATAATGAACATGTAGCTCTTGAAGTCGTCACGCACGCCGCCCGGGAATATACCTCGGCGAGATTTGACATTCCTGATATCGGAATGCATGAACACCCATACAGGCAACTTAGTCAGAACGGCATGGTAGCTGGCTGAAGTATGAACGCACATCTTCCCCTTTTTCTGTCATTTACTTTCCTACCTTTGATGGTCATGCATTAGTTAATGGAGGAATCATTGGGAGAGGTAGCTCTAGGCGCCTCGTTGACCTACAACATTTCTGATCTCCAAATGCATAAAACCCCCTGCAAGCGGCTGGTTCGAAGGCAGCCATATCACGGATCGACTTCATTTCGACGCAACCACTACAGACTCTGTCTCGGTCTCCATTCCTTTGCCTGGCTAACGGGGATGGGGATGGCACTTGCTCCACGCTCGTCTCTGTCTCTGCGCTCCCTGCTGCTGCTCATGTCGCACAGGAAGCCACATCGGAGCTCTTTCTTCTCCTCCTCCGCCGCCGTTCCGCCTGCGGCTCCAGGAACTGCCACTCCGGCTGCTGATCCTGCCGTTCAGCCTCCAGCCGCTCCAGGTAACTTGCTGCTGACGCACTCAATTGTGATTTCTAAACATCGAGTTCCTGTGACTAGCGAGCCTTCTCCGGAAACACATCCTGATCAGAAAGTTTGCGAAGATCCTGATCTTGCAGTTCCTAAAGGTCCGCGCGAATCTACCCGCGATGGTCCGCCACGCCAACCTCCTGGAACTATGGATATAGACGCTAAAGACCCCGGCAAGAAGACTCTCTAACAGCTAATAATACAAAGTCAGTGGGAGCCTTTCCCACATTCCTCAAGGTTCAAAAAAGAAAAAGAAAAAAAAGACACCGGCAAGTCATCAGAGTTCGCCTACGGCACTTCAACGTGTACTCCTTGATCAGCCACCCACCGTACGAACTGCAGAAGCCCTCCTCTTCCGGAAGAATATTGAATTATTGCCAACTGTTCAGGTGCTACGAGCAAATGCTTGCTGCGGTTACTGCCGTGTTACCTCTGTGGACATGTAATCTCAGTGCTGTCATATTATTGATCTTTGTACCGTTCCAATCCACTTCAACAAATAAAGGTGTGCGTTAGATTTTCGTTTTGAGAGGTATGATGTACGTACAACGTGCGTAAAGAAATATAAGAGCGTTTAGATCTTTAGAAAACACTTTTATATTTCTTTATAGAGAGTGTGCGTACGTTATTGATCTTTGCCCAATTGCTCTTAAGCAGTACACATGTGTGCAGTTCTTTTCGGAGGAAAAAGAACATAGACTGCGTGCAGTCAACATACGTTTCGATGGGAAATGGGGCGTTGACATCCATCGTCCATGAGCGCGTGCTCTGCTCTGGGATTGATACGACTTGAATGAATTTCTTGGAGTCAGTCGTCGGTCCGATCCACTTGTAGTACGTAGCATGTTGTTCCTTGCTATGCTAGGCATGGATGGACTCGTCCCAACCGAGACTGGCCATACATGTATCTAGATATGCGTGCTGACATACTCCCCCTGTCCGGAAATACTTGCCATCAAAATGGACAAAAGAAAATGTATCTAGCCGTATTTTCGGACACAGGAGTACGTACTACTACTTATTTGTCACTCGAGGTTTTAGTCCGCCAGTGGCCAAGCAACCAGCCTGAAATTTCTTCCGTTTGTAACATTCACGTAACGTAGTAGTAGTTGCTTTCGCAGCATGTTACTACTACTTACTACCCTCTTGCTGTCTTCAATCCTGAGTCCTGACCTTGAACCCGATTTCGAGGATGCTTCTAGATGCAGGATGGTTGGGCGCGGACCGTGAGAAAGACCGGTGGCCTACCAGGCGCTCGCGCCCTCCACCAACGGTGTGCTTGCCGGTAGGTCCAACGGCGAGCGGCGCCCTGGATGGGCATGAACGCCCACCACCTGTTCGACCAAAGGTTTCAGAGCAGCCACTGCCCCTTTGAACATCCATCCAGGTCAGTGAAAATGAGGTTATGTTGTATGTACAGTACAAACTTGGAAATCCATCAAACCCACGTTGTGTTGAATCCACCCCGTTAACACAGCCATGCCAAACGACCTTAGGGTGTGATTCAGCCTGGTTTAGGAATGTTAGGAGGTTAACCAGCCCATATAGCTAGGTTGGTTCAAGTTTGCATACACAATAAAAAAAAAATTGGACGAATGCAGCTGGCCTGCTTCATTATACTCCCTCCATTCCACAATGTAGTGCTTCCTCTATCCTCATGCTTCAACTTTGACCGTAAATTTAACTATCAAGACCGATTGCGGTGGGAGCAAAAGTTATATCAGTGAATTCGTATTCAAAAGAAGTTTTTAATTATGTAATTTTTTCTCCCGCCGCAATCGGTCTCGTTCGTTAAATTTATGGTCAAAGTTCGACCTCGGGAAGCGCGGGCACACTATATTTTGGGATGGAGGGAGTATTATTAAGATAGGTAGGGTTTACAGTGGTGCCGGTTCGGTGTGGCAAAGTAAAAGAAAAATCACAAGATACAAGGGAGGGGCAGGCTAGGAAAAGCTTCACAAGAGACTTTTCCTTTTGGACAAAAGAAGTACTTTTAGTCAGGAAACGTAAACTAGTCTTCTTCAAGGCATCGTATGCATTTTTCCTTTTCCTCAGCTCTGCAATGCTGAAAATGATTCTTTGATTGTGATAACTTCGTTGTATATGTGCTGTATAGTTGGCCGATCTTTAGGTGTCTCCGCAGAGCACAACAACCCAAGCTCAATGAGCTTTATGATGCAGTTCATTGCAACCATTGGCTGAGTTTCCCAGTCTAAATCACCGCCTGCATCTTCACCTTCATCTCTATAACCTGGAACTATTCTAGGGTCTAGAATCTCCTCAATCTTTTGAGGAAATGGTTTTTCAAAAAATTTGTAAAGGGTCAGGCCATCTTTAAACATCTCATTGGTTGGACGCTTTCCTGTTAGCATTTCTAAGATGATGACTCCATAGCTAAATACATCGCCCTCAGTGGAGATTTTGCTCCCAAATCCATATTCTGCAGTATGCGTAAGTCATTCAAACAATCAATTAACACAACTTGCATTCTTTTTAATTAAAAACAAAGCATCTTCTATTTAGAAAATATTACCTGGGGCAATGTATCCAACTGATCCTCTTGGCCCCACTAAGCTTGTAGAAGTATGAATGTCCGAAGAAGTGTAACTATGCAGGAACTTAGCCAACCCGAAATCCACTGTTATTACTATTCTTGTACCAAAACTCAATGGCCTTCTCTGACCATCCTCATGGACTGTTGGATGGAGCCAACTTCCCAGGTCGCCGTTAACACTATATTCAAGAACAATAGCTTTGAAATCATGTCCTGTTGGATCAATGGTTGAGCATGCAGTAATCACCCTTATAAGATTCCTGTGACGAGTATTTCTCAATGCTTCACACTCAGCAATGAAGCTTTTTGGTGCTCTGAGTTGATTGAGTTTGAAAACTTTGATGGCAACTTCATGTTCTTCAGATTCAATTCTACCTCTGTACACAGACCCATATTTTCCTGAACCGATCAAGTTATCTGATGAGAAACCATTTGTTGCCCTCATTAAATTAGCATATGTGAACTTCTTCAACTCTTTGCAGGATGGATGAGCTGCTTGTTTGAAGTTCTTTTTCTTCTTCAAAATAATGGTTGCAAAGCATGATAACAGGACCAAAGAAAGAACTGTAAATCCTACTATCTTGAGAATGCTGGAGCTATTCCATTGTTTGGATGCCTCTGCATTGCAAAATGGCACCCGTAGCAATGGCGTGCTGGTACATAACTTCATGTTCCCTTGAATAAAAACCTTTCTTCCATTCTGAAATATTCCATCTGCTGGTACAGGACCCTCGAGATTGTTGAAGGACAAATTGAGAAGCTTCATAGACTTAAAGAACTTAAAGATGTCAGGGATTTCACCTGATAAGTTGTTTTGAGATAGATCCATCTCAATGATGCCTCCCAAACTTATGAAGGAGTGAGGGATTTTCCCATGAAAGAGACTCCAGATGGACGCACTGACCTAGAGTGGGGGGTATTTGTCCAGACAGTTGATTATGGGAAATATTCAGTGGCCCAAGATTTTTCAGGCTGCCAATCTCCGGAGGTATCTGTCCAAAGAGTTGGTTGTGGGACAAGTCCAATCCCTGGGAAAGGGAGGGAAGAGAAAACAACTCCTTTGGTATTCTCCCACCAAAGCTGTTATAAGAGAGGTTTAGTTTTTCTAACTTCTTGCTGCCTGCTAAAGCTCCTGGGATAGGGCCACTAAAATTATTTTCCTGTAAATAGAGCTCACTCAGTTGACTCAGTTTACCGACAGAAAGTGGAATTGATCCGGAAAGTTTGTTCTGAGACAAGCTTAAGACAAACAAGTTGGAAAGATTTCCAACTGATTCAGGAAGATTTCCAGTAAGCAAATTTCGTTCCATGTAAAGACGTCTGAGCTCTTTGAAAGGTATAGTGCTAGCCAGTTGACGTTTAACCAGATTCCATATTCAGTAGCACCGGCCGGTGCGGAATCGTAGAGAAAAAGTGAAATAACGAATCTGGTTCTCACCTACAGAGGAAGCGGCAAGCTCGCTCTCTCTTAGTCTTGAATAATCTGATTCACGAAAGCAGTGAAGTCCGGCCTACAGGCAGAGGAAACGGCAATCAGTCTCAGTAATCTGATTCACGACGGCAGGTCCGCAGCGATGCCAGCCTGAAACACTATCTCATAAAAATCCACCAAACGGAAGGAGATAATACAACTTGTGTTGGGAGGTGATAATTGCAATAAAATAAATAAAACTTCAGATTATAAACAGAAACGAAAGTGCTTTGACAGAGGTTGATGCAACCGCAAAAGAGAGAGGGCAATATGGATGAATGGACCGGGATCCTTAGTATCACTAGTGACATCTCTCCATAATAAATAACATGACATGGTGACCAAATTATAGTTGTGTGTCGATTAATTCCCTCCGTCCACGAATAAGTGTGCGTTTGGCATTCTAAATTTGTCCATAAAAGAGTGTACTTCTATCTTCTCAGTGCATTTTAAAGTCAAAGAAAATGCTTCTCTCTCATCACACGGTAGCTAAGACCAATAACATTCAACATATGGTCTCCTCAGTTTTTAGCTCATTGGGGGTGGGGTAATTAAAGATGAAAGAGATGGTGGTTTGCACCTTCTCAATGCATTTTTTACTTATATCCTAAAATTTCTATATGCACACTTATTCGTGGACGGAGGGAGTATATGACTATGATCATACATGACATAATTGCATATAGGCATCATGTTTGTCAGAGATGATTCCAAGG